TTTTGTTTGGCAAACTGCGTGCAATTGTTGTTGCAGCAAACTCGGAGAGAGCGAGTTTGGCATATTTTTATGTACGCTCATATTCTTAAGAGCATTCCCACGACAGCCGGTTCTACGTACCGGAATGACTCGGGTTTCACCCGACCAAGGGCTGTTGTTTCGGCGATCTAACCCCGTTTAGGTCGGCGAAGTATCTCAGAAGTTGTCCGTCCATAGGGCAACATTCACTACGCATTCTCCTACTCAGGGCTGGCATCGAGTCAAACCCTGGGCCAGAAATATACACCTGCTGTGTATGCCGAAGACGTTTACACCACAACTCCACCTCAGTCAAGTGTAATGCCTGCGAGGGGTGGAGTCACCTCAGGGTCTGCTCGGGACTACGGACACACAGACAGTGGACCACGTCGTACGTGGCCCCCTGTTGCTCAAATAGAGCAGCCTCCACGGCAACCCACAGTCCGCCCGTGCAGCCCCACACACTCACACAGCAACCACACACAGTCGCCACAACACAACAACATACCACAGCCACCACAGACCACATAACACACACAACCGCACCACCACCCACACGCCGCCGCCAACAACTCTTGGTTCCCCCTACAATCTGCACGGTATGTCAGACCAGAATATTCCGTAATGTGACATCAGTCAAGTGCAACACCTGCCTTGGCTGGTGCCACTTTAGGGCATGTTCAGGTCTGCGCACCACGCGAGATTGGACGGGGAACTTCGAGGGCCCGTGTTGCGCTGCCCGGTCGCTGGCATCAATTGCGACGCCCCCCAATACCACCACAGGGAGGCAATCACCCCAGCAGCACACACAGCCAACGGCGGCAAGAACTTACACTTCACTCACACCCCACATCACAACACGTCTCCCGAACCACATGAAGCTCCTCCAATTCAACTGTAACGGGCTACAGAGCAAGATTGAGGAGATAACCGCCTTTATGTGTCGGCATGGTATATTAATAGCTGCGGTCCAAGAGACGAAGTTGCACAGCAATTCAACTTTGTTGAATTGTGCCGGGTACAACGTGCACCGTCGAGATCGCGAGCGAGATAATGGTGGTGGCTTAGCGTTCATCACGCACCACACCGTGCAGTATCGTCTTATCGAAGCAGACATCGACCGCAGGGATACCACCCTAGAATGTCAGGGCATCGCTATCCGGTCAGGCGATGTCGAGCTCGAAATATTTAATATATACATACCCCCTGTCACCTGCTGCCCGGCAGGATATCACCCTGATATAGGTGCGCTCCTCAGAGGTGAAAACCGTATGGTAGTAGGTGACTTTAATGCGCACCACGATCTTTGGCACTCAAGCCTGTCAAACGATCGTAGGGGAACAGACTTGGCTGAGCAGATAGACGATTCGACATTCTGCACAATGAACGACGACGCACCCACCAGGATTATGGGTAACTGCAGTAGCTCGCCAGATATCACAATAGTCAGCGCTGGTCTGATAAACAGCATAACGTGGCGACCTATGCTGACTCTAGCATCAGACCATCTACCCATAGTCATCTCGGTTGATAAACCAACCGACTTTGCCTCCGCCAAACACCGGACCTATGTCAACTTTTCTAAAGCTGACTGGAAAGGTTACGCGGAGTTTACTGAAAACACCTTCACGTCGCTCCCCACACCAACCGACGTCCACCTCGGTGAACGTAAGTTCCGCAGGGCTATCACTGCTGCTGCAGCCCGCTTCATACCGGCAGGGTGCATATCGGACCCACGTCCAAACTTCCCTGCCGAAGCGGCTGTTTTAGCAAATGAGCGTGACAGCCTTCGTCAGGCCGATCCCGGAGATCCCCGTATCAGGGATCTCAACGCGGAGATTCGGCAACTTGTAAACGTACATAAGCGGAAGAAGTGGGAGGAGCATCTGAAGACTTGCAACTTCACCTCTGGTGTGAGCAAGCTATGGTCAACCGTGAGGTCATTGTCTAATCCGACGAAGCACGACGACAGAGTCGAAATTTCCTTCGGCGACCATGCTTCGTCGGACCCGGAGCGATGCGCGAGCTATTTTAGCCGGCAGTTCATACTGCATCCTCCGGTGGACAAAGCCAAGCGTCGAGTGACCAGAAGGCTGCACAAACTGCCAACAAATTGTGCCCCCCTTGCTTTCACTTGCGGTGAAGTTCAGGTGGCCATCGGGAAGGCGAAAGCCTCCAAAGCCATGGGTCCCGACGGTATATGCATGCTGATGCTGAAAAATTTGGGTCCTGCGGGGGTAGCGTACCTAACGGAGGTCCTCAATTTGTCAATGGCCACTCTCATCATCCCAGACATCTGGAAGGTGGGGAGAGTGGTCCCACTGCTCAAACCGGGGAAACCTGCAAACAAAGGAGATTCGTATCGTCCGATTACACTCCTTTCCCCGGTAGCGAAGACACTCGAGGCCTTGCTACTCCCGTACTTCACAAATCACCTGACCCCAGCGAAGCATCAGCATGGTTTCCGTAAAGTGCACAGCACAACAACAGCACTTAACGCCATAAACACTCAGATAACTCGTGGCCTTAACCGTAACCGTCCCTGTGAGAGAACGATTCTAGTAGCGTTGGACCTGTCAAAGGCGTTTGACACCGTCTGCCATTCCACGCTACTAGAAGATATAGAGGCCTCCTCTCTCCCACAGAGGCTCAAACGGTGGTCGGCAAATTATCTAAGTGGTCGACATTCGTCGGTAATGTTCAGAGACAAAACGAGTAAGCAGCGAAAAATAAAACAGGGGGTCCCTCAGGGTGGTGTCCTTTCCCCGCTACTGTTTAACTTTTATATTTCAAAGCTCCCTCAACCACCAGAGGGAGTCTCGATTGTCTCCTATGCCGACGATTGCTCGATTATGGCGACTGGGAATGGAATTGATGACCTGTGTTCGAAAGTAAACGGCTATCTCTCCGAACTTTCTCGCTTCTTCACTGCAAAGTGTCTAGCCCTCTCCCCTACGAAATCCTCCGCGACCCTGTTCACAACCTGGACGAAGGAGGTCAGGCTACCGCTGGGGATTCACGTCGATGACACACCAATTCCGACGGTGAATAACCCCAAAATACTCGGAGTAACTTTCGACAGCCTGCTCTCCTTCTCTGCGCACTCAACCGCTATTGTCAATAAAGTACAGAGCCGCAACAAGGTCCTCAAGTCGCTAGCCGGCAGTACTTGGGGCAAAGACAAAGAAACGTTGCTGGCAACATACAAGGCAATAGGCCGGCCGGTTCTGAACTACGCAGCGCCAGTGTGGTCGCCTGGGACTAGTAGGACGCAGTGGACGAAGCTACAGACCGCACAAAACACCGCACTGAGGACAGCGACGGGATGCCTCCTGATGACGCCTGAACACCACCTGCACGGCGAGGCGCAAATGCTCCCGGTGAAGGAGCACAATATAATGCTCTGCAAGCAGTTCCTGATCGGGACCCACAGAAGTGGCCACCCGTGCAGACAGCTGCTTGCAGAGGAGCCCTCGCCTAGGCACGTCAGGAGGCATCTATATGAACTAACGGACGAAGTCCAGAGGTTCATTAAGCAACCTCTGGACCCGACAGCCTACAGACAGGCCTTGAACGGCATTCACAGGGACTCAGTCTCGAGTTATGTAGACTCTAGACCTGTGAATGCCGTTCTGGGCACACCACCCCCGGACATTGACGAGACGGAGCTTCATCTGCCTCGGGGGACGCGCACCACACTTGCACAACTTCGCTCCGGCTACTGCAGCAGGTTAAACTCCTACCTGAGTAGGCTGAATGAGGATGTGCCTAATGAATGTCCGGCATGCGGAGAGACCCCACATGACTCGAAACATCTCTTCGCATGCCCGGCAAACCCGACATCCCTAACGACCTTGTCCTTATGGGCAAACCCCGCAGAAGCTGCACGCTTCCTAGGGTTGCCGTTAGTGGAACTTGACGACAACGACTGAGATACCAACCGATCTGGGCGGGGTTGTTGTAGCCGCTACAACAACAACAACAACAGAGCGAGTTTGGCGACTCTCACAGCAAACTAATTTTGTTTGGTCAAACTGCAGCAAATTCGGTGTTGTCATATACAAAAATTTTAAATTTTGCGCGTTAAGCGAAGCGCACATTAGCGCGATTCCATCGTTGCGAATTCGGCTATTAACTTCGAATCCGCAAACGTGCGCACACTTGAGCGATTTTTTCGCGTCGATTTCCGATGTACAATTCACTTAATTTTCCCTTTATTTCGTGTATTTTCGCACTCGGCCTGCCCAAATCGTACAAAATACTATTATTACGAACGTTTTTATTAGTTTTTGTACATTACACGTTTTTTTTTCTTTGCCTTTATTGCTGTGACACCTTTCTTCTTCTTCTTTGACGCCTTCAAAACGCTGCAAGCCGCGTTTCGAACGCGTCAATAGAGAGGAACATTGAATGTTCGAAAATTTCGCAGCGACGGAATCGTGCAAGTGTGCGCTAGCGCATTAAAATGTATGGGTAGCATTGTTGTAATTTTTGGGCTTGCGGATTCGCAACGACAGAATCGCGCCAATGTGCGCTTCGCTTTATGTACATCTGAAATTCTCATTGGCAATAGCCATGAAAACCATAATGAACTTGCAACCTTGTGCCAAACTCGACATAACCACCTCCGAGCAAACTAAGCAGCCGCCATTTAATTTGGCAAACAAAAGTTTGTCTGCATAACACCGACCTAACCGAAATCAGCAGGAGAGCCAAAAAAAGAAGAGCGTAAGATCGAGAGAGAGCTGCTAGTTTCTGCTAGTTTTTTGGGTTAAGAGACACTTTCAAGGTGTATTAAACAAGGTGGTGTTGGGGCGACAGCTGAGTTTTTCGCCGTGGAGGCCATTACGTCAAAATGATGTGTTTGTTGTAACTCATACCAATGACAGTATGGACATCAGCGTATAATTTGTTAGTGTGATTTTTTACTTATATACGGCCAACACCACCTTGTTAAATACGCCTTGGACACTTTCCAGCAGAAATTAGTGATAATTTGTGATAATTATCTGTTAAGAAACAAAGCTATGTTTTGGTACTTACCCGGCATTGTATTTTTTTGTCGTCAATTTATTAATTAAATTAATTGGAATTTAGTTAGTAGATACTTTACGTTAGTATAAAATACTTTAGAGATGTCATCTCGTCCATGTTCACCAAAGCCGAGACGAGGGATTCGCTGTTCTGAATCCGCTGAACCAAATGGGAAAGTAAACAATGATGAGCACTTGGATACATCTGATGATAATTACGACGGTAACTCAATAGAAGCAGAAGCCAGTGACGAGAGCTGCGCAAAGGCGCCGGAGGATACAAAGGATCGTATCGAAAGGGGTTGTGTAACTTACCTAGCAGGCATAGTGGGAGCCATAGTCTTGGCATACTGGGTGTTTACAATGCTAACGCCTTCAGAGAAAAAATGTTCATACAATGAATTACGTCAAAGACATCAAAAGCAGGATCAAAAAATGTGGCAATCGCTTTCTATAAATATAGAACATATTTTGAATGAACGCTCCACAAAACCGGCTGTGTATCTTTTTCTTCACCAGGGAAGTAGAGATATGCAAGCATTAGTAAAAAATATTGCTTCTGATACAGTAAACTGCTTCGGTGTGTGCCTTCATTTAAAAAAATAAATTATCTGTATTTAAAAATCCTATTATTTCTAAGGTGGTGGTCAGTTAGTCGAGATGAGTGAAAATGATTTTACCACTGATGATTATGGCTATGCTATTGAGAAATTCAAAAATAAAATAAAGAAGGGACATGTGGCACTAATTGTCCATTTGAATAAGGTATTTGTATCATGCATACGTACATATATCACAATATGCACGGAAATTAAAGGTAAATTTTAATTTTTTTTAGATACCCGTAGAGGCAGCGCGTGCTTTGCACTTCATCTGCGATGTACACACACCAATCGCTGAAGGAGTGGTTATATACCTCACATTAGTTACACCGTCCTCAATAGGTAACTATCCAGCAATGTATAATATATACGTATGAATGTAGTTATAATAATATTCCCTGCCAGCGTTTTCTATAGCTAAAGTAACTAATTCGATACGACATTTCTGTAAAACTCGTTGCTGGTGATATCGGTACTTTTTCGAATTCTTATCCGCTTTCGAGAAGAACTGTGCCACCAAAGCGTCACGTCTTTATGATGCGAAAGCGATACTGACATAAGCATCTATTTCGACAGAAATGGGCCAATGGGTATTATGGGCCAAAAATAATAATGCTGAGTAGTTTATGTATTTTTCTTTGTAGTAGTTTTCCTTGAGATCTTTTTACGTGTTGATCCTGAGGAAGATGGACCTGGTTCCTCGTCTGGTTTGAGAACATATTCACTAGTTTTTGCCTTCCGTTTCTTCGATCTTTCGGCAATGGAGCCACAATATCTACTGAACTCCTCATCAATACTCATGTTTCATTCCATGCGAAATGCGAAGACGATAATCAACAGAAACAGTAAACGTCACTTCTTCAGTGTTACTTTTTTAAATGTTCCACACTAGCAACTTACACGATGAACTATAATAATATTCCCACCAACAACAACACTTACTGGACCAACAACAACACTTACTGGACGTCCGGCGCGGAGAACAATTAACGAGATAATGAGAAACTGACGAAACGAGTTGCTTACTTTTAACAGCTTTTTTCACAGAAAACTAGTTTTCGCACGTAAGCTCCCTTTTCGTAGACCAGGTCACATATGGCGTATGCTTATTTGAAAATTTAAATGTAAGGAATTCATATATTTGTCTGCATTAACTCTATTTTGGCTTTTGTATGGCACAATGAATTACATAATCTCAAAGAGTACAAAACACATAAGCTATGGATGTACTTATTTATACGAACGCATTATGGTTTACCGAATTAAAACACAACTTAACTTCCCATGTCACGTCGTACTTAAAAATAACAATTCCATAGCCCTTAAAGTACAGCATTCTGCTGGCGTTGGCAAAATAATATCAAATGGAGTCTGACTTGACTGCACTTTGTATTTCTATTTGGTACTGGTTAATATATAGGACTGTTCAGGATGTTGTGGAAATAGTCTTGGATTTGCAGTTGGAATTGCATTTGCAAATTTTGTGCTTGCAGCTAGATAATTTCAGGAGTTAAAAGCCCTTCCGAAAGGCCTTCGTGAGAGCCAAGAGGCCTTCTCTACATTCCTTTTTCCATTCTATTTTGGATCGAGTGGTACATATTGAAGGGCTTCTTCTTTCGCTACTCAATGAAGGCCTTCCAGAAGGGATTTTATAGGACGTACTTCAGAAGGCCTTTTTGAAGAGTTCTTTTAAAGTTGCATCTTTAATTTATAAAAATCATACATCTTTGAAGTATTTGCTTAAGGTTTATATCAAATATGTATTATTGCAACTTAAAATGTTTATTGAAATTCATTTGTAATGCTAAATAATGTAAATTTATGAATTCGCGTAAATTGTAAATAGGCGATAGGCGATAAAATTCTCTTCCAATTGCTGGCAGGGTTGCTAGCAATTTTAATAAATTCATTTTATGTTTTTCAGGCACGCCCAAAGAAAATGCTGTGAACACATTGCGGAACTTATGGAGCTCGAAATTAGAGTATAACGTCCTCGACCCTTTAATAACTCGCGTTACTGATGAAGTTATAGCACTGAAAAGTGAATGAAAGGCGATTAAATCGAATAAGTTCTTATGGCCCTATCATATATGTCAGGTGCTGGATTTTGTAATATGTATTATTTAAACTGTATTCAAATCTGTTTTCAGAAGCAATGTGCACTATATGTAGCCCGGTCTATATGGACATAAGGCTATTTCCTAAAATATTTTTGATGTATTTATTTCAACGCATTTTTAAATAGGTTAGGTTAGGTTATTCTGGCTGGCTGAGCGCCCCACATAGACCAATAGGTCTCTTAGTGATGCCTAATGGAGATAGAGGTTCAGTTAAATGTATTCGAAGTATACATCATTTAGGATGTCTACGCCTGTTGAGAATTTCACCAGTGCTTGAAGCCCAAGTTGTCACGTCTTCAAGACGATTAAATTCTGAAGCTCCGAGATATTTCAATGGTGTTTTTGATACAGCAGGACAATGGCGTAGGATGTGTTCTAGGGTCTCCCTTGTTCCCGTCCCAATGTATTTCCTGCAAACTGCACTGTTAGGACACCTATCATAGTTATGCAGTCTCTTTGTGCCAGCGATAGTATAAACCGAGTTTAAGTCTCGTTTTCCAGTCTGCACATGACTTCAGAGATTTTGCAGCTGTTTAGCGCATTCCATCTCGATATGGTCTGCTTTTTCACCCTCTGGTCTATTTCGTTATAAAAATTTTTAAGCGTTTTCGGAATGTTATTCACTTATTCTAGAGCCAAGTGGATTCCGCTCTTGGCAATCTCATCCACAATTTCGATACCTGTAATGCCCTTGTGGCCGGGGACCCAATAAATATGCAGCCATCCGCCTGGTTGTTGCTGCCCCATTTATGGCTTCCCTGCTTCTAAGGGCATTTTGTGACGTAAATTGGTGTGAGCTTATAGCCTTAATCGCTGCTTGACTATCTACGTAGAGTTGTTTTCAGTCATTGATTAGGCTAGCTCAGCGGGTTTTCTCACTGCGAAGAACTCTGCCTGGAATATACTGCAATGATCCGGCAGCTTGATTGGCCGACGAACACTAAGTTCTGAACAGTACACTCCCGCTCCTATTCCACCATTCATTTTTGAGCCGTCTGTGAAGAAGGTAAAAGTATTCCGGCTAGGCTTCATGCCCTACGCCATACGTTTTCTTCGATAGTAACCCGAAACTCCTTATCCACTACAGAAAGGTACCATGTAATCCGTGGTGGCAACATGCCCTTTGGTTATTGAGCTGTGGCCAATGTTTCTTTGCTTAAACTCCCCTGTTGCAATCAGCAAGGCTCTTTGCCGCAAGGTCGATAGGTCGATAATATAACACCTATTGATATTTTTTCCAGTGGGGTTCTCAGGGCATGTGAAGAGTGGCGGGAGTCATGTGGCATCTCTCCACATGCCAGGCATTGGTTGGGCACATCCTCGTTGATTCTCCTCAAGTAGGAGTTGAGCCTGCTGCAATAGCCAGAGCGAAGTTGGGCTATTGCAGTGCGGGTATCCCGAGGCAGACAAAGTTCTGTCCCGTCCACGTCCGGTGGTTGTGTGCCTAGGACGGCATTCACAGGGCGGGAGTCTACATAACTTGAGACTGATTCCCTGTGAATGCCGTTCAGGGCCTGTCGGTAGGTTGACGGGTCCAGAGGTTGTTTGATAAACCTCTGGACTTCGTCCGTCAGTTCGTAAAGATGCCTCCTGACGTGCCGTGGCGGGGGCTCTTCCGCGAGCAGCTGTCCGCTGGGATGGCCACGTCTGTCACCCCTATTGCGAGTGTCGACTGGCAGTAGAATAGAAATTTGTCGATCGAGTCGATCATCTTTTATTTTGCTATTGTGTAACTTGATCGATAAAAATTTGTACTATTGTGAATGGTTGACAGAATTGTAAACAGCTGTTTGTTTGTTTACATTTGTTTCTTGAGTGTTTTATTTACATCATTTTTAAAATAATTGCTTTTATTATTAAATTTAAAAAATGGACACAGTTGAAATATGGTTTAGTGATGAGGAAGATGATGCGGAAGCTAATAGATTAGTAGAGTTGGCTAAAGCAAGGAGGGAATTGCGAGATTCGTCGGATCCCTTGGACTTGGAAGGTGTAAGTACATGTGTGAGTTTTATGAACAAAAGTTGCGTTCCCGATGATTCACGGTTTTTAGGCTTTACATGATTTGCAGGAAAAGCTGTTTTCCTCATTAATAAACTTTATGGAAGTTTAAGAAATACGGTACGGTTAAGTTTTTTGTACAATGATGTTGGGTTTTTGTGTCCAAATGCGTGACCCGAGTTTAAAAACTTTAACATAACAACATAACAAGTGTATTGAAAGAATTCAACTTTAATTTAAAATAAAGATTTCAAATTTCCGAGCCCTAATCAATTAATAAATTATGCAGTTTTTTTGTATAAACTTTTGATGTTGGTTCTGCGCAAAAACACAAGAAATATTGTATATGTATCTTTTCCAATAAAAGCGGAGCTTCCTACCCTACTCTTTCCGGAAATTCCTTTGCCTATGTCTTCACTCTCCTGCATCAGTACGACCAACCGCGCAAGTTGCCTTTTGTTGCTTATAATTTTTGATCTGTAATTCAGACACATACATGCATATGTATATTTCACAATTTTTTTACAACTTCCAGTTCAATTGACTTACTTTTTATCCATTATAGTACCACTTTCTTATGTAAATTTTATAAACGCAAACTCCAACGACTAAAAAACAGCAATAGAAGGATGAGCGATTAAAAAGTATTCACAGTCGCTAATTGAGCGACTAAGCGACACTCGCAATAGCATCGATAATCGATAATCGCTTAATAGTCGTTTATCTACTGCCAGTCGACATTCGCAATAGGGGTGTGTGACTCCCAGCCAGGAACTGCTTGCACAGCATTATGTTATGCTCCTTTACTGGGAGCATCTGGGTCTCGTCATGTAGGTGGTGTTGGGGCGTCATCAGGAGGCATCCTGTCGCTGTTCATAATGCCGTGTTTTGGCAGGTCTGTAGCTTCATCCACTGCGTCCTGCTAGTCTTCGGCGACCATACGGGCGCTGCATAGTTTAGAACCGGCCGGCCAATTGCCTTGTATGTTGCCAACAACGTTTCTTTATCTTTGCCCCAAGTGCTGCCGGCCAGCGACTTGAGGACATTGTTGCGGCTCTGTACTTTATTGACAATTGCGGTTGTATGCGCCGAGAAGGAGAGCAGACTGTCGAAGGTAACTCCGAGGATTTTCGGGTTATTCACCGTCGGTATTGTTGCGCCATCAACGTGAATACCCAGTTGCAGTCTGGCCTCCTTCGTCCAGGTGGGGAAAAGGGTTGCCGAGGATTTCGCAGGGGATAGGGCAAGGCTCCTTGCAGTGAAGAAGCAAGAAAGTTCGGCGAGGTAACCGTTTACTTTCGAGCAGTCATCAATTCCATTCCCAGACGCCATGATCGAACAATCGTCAGCATAGGAGACTATATTAACACCCTCTGGTTGCTGAGGAAGCTTTGAGATGTAATAATTAAACAGCAGCGAGGACAGGACACCACCCTGTGGTACCCCCTATTTAATTTTACGTGGCTTGCTAGTTTTGTCTGAAAATTACTGACGAGTGTCGACCACTCAGGTAATTCGCCGACCATCGTTTGAGTCGCTGTGGGAGTGACGAAGCCTCTATATCTTCTAGCAGCGTTGAATGACTGACAGTGTCGAACGCCTTGGACAGGTCCAACGCTACTAGATTAGTTCTCTCACAGGGGCGGTTTCGGTTTAGGCCAAGAGTTATCTGAGTGTTTATGGCGTTAAGTGCTGTTGTTGTGCTATGCACTTTACGGAACCCATGTGCATGCTTCGCTGGGGTCAGGTGGCTCCTAAAATACGGGAGCAGCAGGGCCTCGAGTTTC